GGCCTGCTAGATCAGGCCCGCAGAGCTATCGACTCTGGCCCACAGACATTTGGCAGTGGATGGGAGCACGAGGGGCTTCAACTGTGGGCACTTTCCCCATACTGTGGCCAGGGATGAGCCCCTGCTTCACCAGCCAGATCCTACCACCAGCCTACCACCTCTGCGCTAGACTGGGGTCCTGATCCTCGGACAGAGAAGACTGCCTACCCTTGCCCTTGGAGACCCGCGTCCCCCCCTTGCATGCAGCTGTGACTGATACCGTACTTGCACTTCTCAGTCTGGAGGACGCTGGTCAAGTTTTCAACTCCCCGTGTCCATCTGGCAACAGATGAAAGAACTCCCCTCCCTCTGCTAGCGCAGGACTCCCCAAAGCCATTTAATCCTCCCTGGAGGCAGAGGCGAGACATCATATTGCTGACTCCTGTCTCTCCGTGCCCAGAGAACCCCAAAACACTTGCAAGGATGCCGCTGCCAGCTGCTTCTCTTGCAAAGAGTCAGGCTGCACCTCAGAGCCCGGACAGGCATCAGTCACCAACTGATAGAAACCAGATGCCCGTGATGTGGCAGGATCCTCCTTAAAACCTCTTCCCAGCGCCTCTCCCTCCGGCCCGAGCGTTCCCACGGGCCTGTCCAAGCGCCCCCGTTCCCTGCATGACGCAGAGCCGAGTTTCACTGAGCCAAGCATCTCCCTGGCCCAGAGCTTGGAAAACTGGGGCAGCAGCAGCTGCCTCTTGCAACGAGGGAGCAGGCAGGTGGCTGGGGCACGCATGGCTCCTGGAGGTCATGGGCTCTCCCTCTAAACTGGCCAAGTGCTTGTTTTCAGGCATGTATTAAAAATAAAGCAACTTTGCAGTTTCTCCTGGGGACATGAGACTATTTCTGCAGATCCTCTGACAGGGGGATGCGTGGGCAGGCAGTATGTGCTCTCCCGGGGGTGGGGGATGGAGGAAGTCATCTCCCCCATACGTCTCCCCAAGCGCACCCTGCTCCCCGCGGGCTGCAATCTGGCACCTGCATCGGGCTCTGAATGAGGTGCAAAGAAAAGGGTCAAGCAAAGAAGAGCTGAGCTCCAAGCCCGGCTGCAATGTGGATTCCTCCCTCCCCCTCCCAGGCTCTCAGATATAACATGAGCTCTCTCCTCCATGCAAACACTCAGGCCGGGGGCTATGCATTTGGAGAGCGGCTCCAGCCAGTTCTAATGCAACTGCAAGCCTGCTCCTTCACCATTTAAACACAGCTTAAGTGCAGGTATATCGAATGCATAGCAGACAATTGCATCCCAGGCTATAAGGTCCCTAGGGCAAAAAGGCTCCTAGCTCAGGTCTGTGATATACTATTAATTCTCCTGTATACGGACCCAGAGCTGCTCCCCATCCCTTCAGAGCATCTCACGTGCAGGGTTGCTTTTCTAGCTGTCATCTAGCAAGATGCTCTCAAAGCCACATCCAGAGGCTTCTGCCTCCCATCTCTCTTCTCCCACCAAGCCCAGCACGGGGAAGGGTAAGAAAGCCCCTCTACTTTGCAGCTTGGTCTGCTCTCAGGCCCAATGGGGCCCTTGGCCTTCACCACGCAGTAAAGCAGATCTAAATACTCGTGAAGCAGTCACCAGACACGAAGGGCTGGGAGGTGGTAAGGAACCCAGAAGAGGGAAGCTGAGAATTTCAGGGGGAAGGAAAAACTTGTATTCTCTCATACAGCTAGCCTGAAGCCACAAATGGGCAAGTGGGTAGTGTCTACCTGCCCCCTCCCTCTCCTTCCCCACGATCAGCTTTGGCAGAGGGGTTCAAAGATGCAAACAGGGGAATCAAGAAAGGAGAGATAAAAGCAAGAGCCACCCACCCCATCGCCAGCTGCTCCGCAGATTTTAGAGGGACTCGGAGCACTAGCAAAGGTCTCGCATCCTCCCTGAGCAGCCTTGTGTTAGGAGCAGAGCAGGAAGAGGGCACGTGCTTCGACAGCCACTTGGGCCATTCAAAAGTGGAGAAACTGGAGTGTGAGGAAGAGCGATCAAAAGCCACAGGGAAGCAGACAAGCCCACCAAGAGGTTCCCAAGACCAGCCTGGTCCATGGTCCTGCGGGATCCCTCCAGGCTTTCCTTCCCCTGCTCCCCACACCCCCTCAGCCACCTGCCAGAAAGGGCCCCAGGAGCTGATGGATGAAGCTGCAGGTTAACAAATCCAATTTGTTGGACACAAAAGGCAGAGCGTTTCATTTGTGCAGGCTCCCTTTATGAAATTGCTCAGACACTCGAGACGTGAAATGTCACCGTGTCACTGGGTGGCAGATCAGGGCACCTGGAGAGGGAGGAAATTAATCTAACGGTGCCCCTGCAATAGAGGGCCTGCCCCTCCGAAGCCTGGGCAGTGGGGGACAGCATGTTGGACAGCCTGGGAGGAAGCAGGCCATCACCCCCTTCTCTCAGACAGCAAGCGCTCGGATCAGGGATTTATTTGTGGGTCTAGAGGGGGCCAAGCCCCGAGTCGGACACTGGAATGCAAACGGCCCCTCTGCCTTGCCAGAGATGCCAGCGTGACTTGCCCACGTGGCATTTTTGGGTGAGCACCTTTGTGCTTTCTCTGATGTTGCATCCTGTGAACAGCTGCGAGCCAGATTCACCTCTGGGCTTGGCAATGACCATGCCTAGGTCCCTGCCACCTGCTAGGCATCCACCCCATGCCGGTCACCACTTTGGCTATGGCAACTCATTGTGATCCTCTGCTCTTGCCACCCTCTGACTTGGCTCGATCTGCTGGCATCCTCCAGGCGACGTGGTGCCCAAAGCAGGGGGGTGGCCTTGCCACACCTGGGCCAGGTCGGTTGTGCCCAAACTAGCAGTGTGGCCCCATCTACCACCTCCGGTTCCTTCACTCAGGTGGCAGACGCTCACAGACCTGGATCCAGCAGTCTCAGGCGTGCTACAGAGCAAAATGGTCACTGCTGGCTGGCCTGAGCTGCAATGCTTTCGACTATGCAGCTCAATCTCGGCAGCCCAGCTCTGCCGTTCGCTATCACCTTCAGCCTTTGACGCTGATGCTTTCTAGGATTCTCCCTTCTCTCATCTCCGGTTACTCCCCTGAGCCCTCCAAGTGAACTGGCTCATGTTTCCTCCTACATCATCCTCCCCAAGGTCTCTCGCTATGCCTCTCTCCACCCCCCCCTACAACCTTGCTAATGCCACATTTGAGGCCCGCATTGAACGGTACTTGCAAATCTTCCCAGCACCCAAAAATGTTGCAAACGTGCTCTCAATTCCCGATGGCCTCGTGTCAGCAGCAAGGATTCCTGTCCACCCACTCCCCCATCTGCTCGAGCCCAACACAACAGGTCCCAGGCTGGTTGGAGCAATGCCACGGGTTATTCCAGCGTGGCAAGCTCTGAAAGGGGAATGGCAGGGAGGAGGATGACAACTGTGATCTCCAAGGGCACCCGCGGCTCCTGGAAGAGTTGGTACAAGTTTCTAGCGCCCCGCAGCAAGAGGAAGAGCCTCGAGAAAGTCACTACATACTCCTCTGAACTGTTACTCAGGTTCCTATGAATCACCAGCCCTCAAACAACCGCAGGCAGCAAATTCACGCTCCTCCTTCCACTGATCCACCTTCAGCCATCCCGAGCTTTCCAACAGCGAGCCAGTCTTGATCCCGAAGGAAACACTCCTGCAAGTTGCCTCTAGAGCCCAGCTAGGAGCATCTCCAAAACCAAGTGCATTTAGTGGCTGCTGGATTGACTGATCTGGAGGTCACAACCCTCCATTTATCCCATGAACACAGCTTCTCCGATGCTGCAATACGAGCGGGGATCAACCCCTGACCTGAAGGAACCCCAGCAGCAAGGGAGAGACCGTGCTGGCCTCACGCAGGCTGATTCATGCCAGAGATGCAGACTTTTGGGTCACTATTTAGGCAGTTTTTAGCCAGCCTCAGGGAGGGCAACAGCTTCCCAACCTGGCCACCCTAAATCACGGGACGAACGGTGCTACAGCAAAGAGGCTCCTTTCCAACCCCATCTCCTCGGGGGAGGTAATCTGAGGTCTCCTCACCAGGCCGCTCCAAAGCCAGACACATCCTTTAAACGCCATCTGACGTGTGACACAGGCTGAGAGCTCAAGTTTTGCACCCCACCGTTTCAAGTCCTAGCAACGTAAATGATGAAGGTGCCTGGAAATGGAGAGAGCTGATGTATGGCTGGCAGCCCGGCTCAGTTCTGCACGCAGGGCGAGGAGGCTGCATTCCCCAGGCCAGATCTATCAAGCCCACTGACAACATGTTTGTTGCAGACACGCACCATTCCAGCAACATCAAAATGTTTAATTGCAGGGGGGAGATTAGCGGCTCCAGGGCTCTGTTCTGCAGCTACAGCCTCTCTCTCACTCTGCCAGCGCCCGAGACTCCCTGCAGCACGGCCCTGGTTCGACACCAGACAGGCACTGGCCTGAAATGCACTGCTGTTTCCACGCCGTCACGGGACATTGCAGACAGGGGCTTGGTGCAGTCCCTCTGCTGCTCATTTCAGTGGGCTGCCCTCCCGGGCCCTAGCAAAGCTGCCCTGCGCTTCCTTGGCTCTCACCGGCATTACCCAACATCCGTGTCCAGATGCAGTTCCAGGCTGCAACGAGCGGTCTCCTTAAACGATGCTCAGCACCGTGCTGCGGGTCACTGCACCAGCCACACACCATCCCGGACCTTCAGTCTCTAGCTAGAGGCACATCAGGGACAGAGCAGGTGTGATGGAAACCCCGACCTCTGCACATCCCGAGCTGCCCGAGGGCCCTGTGGATGCCGTCGCAGACGACGTACATTAGAGCAGCGGTGCACAAGGTACAAAAGATGCCTCCGGCTGCTGTGCCTCTGACGCACAGCACGACACGCCTACCTCTTCTCCTATTTCATAGTTGTTAGGGGGCTGGAAGGGACCTTACAGACGATCGGGTCCAGCCCCAATTCGAGGCTGACACCCAGCCTAAAACTCATAGCCTTGGGCTCCTCAAGCCATGACACACCACCAGGAAACTTGCTAAAATACCATGAAGTAGGTGGCAGTGCCTTAGCCATATGCATGGACCTCTTCCATCCTTACCAAGGGGAGTGCTAACCTTCTCTCCTTTCATACAACACATTGCCCCTTGTTGCACTTCATTCCTCGCTTTCCTTCTTGGAGCAGGGTGGAGAAGGCAGGCAAGCCGCAAGGATCAGATACTGGCCCCTGAGCACAGCCCTTGGCCCAAGTCTACTGGCTTGCTGGTATGCGATTGCTGCTCTCTCCTCCGTGGCACTGGGATAATGCAGTGTGTCATGCTAAGGAGTGACAAGATGGGGCAATGCAGGAGTCGAATATGAGTAGGAGCAGAGCAGGTCTGGGATTTTCTGGGGTAGCAACCCTACGTTATAGGAGACCGCTGCAATGCAAGAAGGGGGACGGGGGGGGAGGGAGGGGAATAAAAAAAAAATTTTTTTTAAATCAAGGCCCTTCCCAATGCTGACCTGTCAGTTCTGGCCAGATGCTGCAAATGGCTCCCGGGCCCATCAGCCCCAGCAAGCCTCTCCCCAGTGAGCGGCTGCAGGGAGTGACAGCTCCGAACAGACAAGCGCTCCGTTCCAATTTGTCCCTTCAGCCTGAGCGCTCCGAGCCGGGCGCGGGAGACACTGCAGGCAGGGCAGCCTGGTGATTAGATTAAACACGGTGTGTCCTTTGCGATGAGATGTTTTCCGGGGGTGGTATCTCCATCGGGGTGACAGTGGCCGCATGGTTACTTTCAGCGAGCAAGCCTTCTGCAGAGGGCTGCCTGGGATGGAAGCAGGCGGCCAAGATGATGTCGATGATGGTACGTGGCTCCCAGCTCGACAAGCAGCCTGTACAGGAGGCAAGGGGGTGGAGGCAACAAAAAAAAAAAAAGGAACAGAAACAAGCCTAGCAATGCAGGCCTGATCCAGTCAACCTGACCTTTTAGGGCTTCCGGGCTTGACTGAGGATAAAACAGAGAGAGGCTTGCTGGATTTCCAAAACAGACTGGAGCCGAGATGCTGCTGGCCAGACACAGAGTCTGAGAATTAAATGCAAGGACAAGTTAATAACCAGCCTGCTCTGAAAAGAGGAAAGGGAGGCGGACTGACTGCCCTGCCGTTTGGATGGAGGCATTCAACGAGAAGGAGCAGCAGATGGTCCGGCTTCTGCACCAGCAGGTGGGCACACGCATGCAAAGCCGACAAGGTGACAAGGTTCCCACCGTGCCCTGCAGCTGGGTTAGTCGAGTCTTCCCTCGACGTAAAGGAAATTTCACCAGGAAATAAAGGAATGAGGCTTTATAGGAAGATAGTAGTGCAGCCCACACGCTCTCCCGGGCGCGGCGCCTGATCAGGAGGGTGGACAGAGCACATCGTCGTGGACAAGAGGCTCTGCAGAGTAATGCACCCACCCAAGGTGCATGCTCCCCCATGGGGATGTTCAGCCTTTATGCCCACATTTGTGGGAAGAGGAAAGGACACAGAGGAAGCTACAGCAGCGAAGAGAGGAGAGGAGGGATACGCAGAGTTGGAGGGGGCGCGTTGGCAACGAACTGAACAACAGGGCGGCACTTCCCTCCGTTCTTACAGCGTCTGCCTTTCCGGACGCACTGTTCCGGACGGCTGGCGTTCGTTCCAATGCCTCCTTCTCAACAGCTTCTCCCACACAGGCTTCGCCGTCTGCTCCCCTCCCTCTCCTCGCCCTGCTATTCGGAGAGGCTCCCCCCGAGCCATGCACTGAACATTTGCAGCTTCCACTTGCCAGCTCCAAATTTCAGGTGGCCCCTCGTCTCTGGTTCTCTGCAAAGGTCACCAAGGCAGGCAGGAGTCAGGTGGTGAATTCCTGGAGTGAATCCACTGATCCACACACTTCTTTCCTCCTCTACCCTCCCTTCACCAAGTGTGCAAAGCAGAGTGGAGCCCTTAGAAGTGTCACGTGCGACAGTTTTGTCCCTGTTTGGGACTAGCTATCACACATCCATGTATGCACATGCTCCGGATCTCAGTGGTGAGCAAGTTCCTCACCAGTGGCAAAGCGAGGGCAGGCCAGCCTGCAATGCACCTATGTACTTCTTTAGTCTTGGCTCTGGAAACACCATTTTCCCCCAGTAACAGCAGCTGCAAGAAGCTGAAATGGAAGAGACCCTAGGTAAACACCTGGAGAGCAAGAGAGAGGCTGGCTTCGAGTCTGCTTGACGCTGTGATTCTCGGTAAAACCTTGATAAATGTCACCGAGAGCAAAGAAAAGCCTTTTGCCAAGATTAAATAATTGCAGGGTTTTTTAATATAGAGGATTTCAAGAGAGGATTTTTTTTTAAAAAGAAAGGAGCACACTCAGAAAATGTTATATTTTAAAATAAGTGAACTTAAAAAAAAAAAAAAACAAAAACCACCAAAAAGAAAAAGAAAAAGAAACCTGGAGTTGAAAGTATTGCTTATAATTATATTCAGAAGATTAAAGAGCCGTGCAAAGCATTCTGGGTGGCCTCATGCAATGCTTACCGACAAGCTTCAAGAGCACATTTAATGACATTTCATGGAGAAACCTGCAATGAAGTCACATGTAAATGCCTGGTATAATGGTACTTAGAGGTCCCAGTTGAGACCAGGGCCCTGTTGTGCCAAGGACCGTGTTGTACACAGCACGCAGAGTATAAAACTATCAGCAGGCGAGGCAAGAGGGGAACTGGCACAGAAGGGAGCCGACTTGCACAGGAACACGTGGGAAGTTGGTAGCACAGACATCGCCAGGCTGGAAGATAAGAGAGGTGGGGTGGGGAATGCAAGCCTCATGCTTCATAGAATAAACCACCCCCAAAAACGGGGATTTGAAGAGAAGTTTCCCTGTGTGCAGCTCTTTCCAGGATGTGCCCCACCCGGGGGTCTTTTCCCATCGTTGGAAGAATGGGGTGCTGTCAGGAAACCGGACCCTGGACATGATGGGCTCCTTAATTTTGCCCCCTCCTGCGGCCACATCCTGGCACCAGGTCAGCTCTGGGAGAAGACCAAGGATCTTCTCGCACTCCCCCTCCAGGCAGGCATCAAAAGTAGGGGGCTGGCAACAGCCCCACCAAGGCTTGCATGAAGTTTGACAAGCATGAATGCAACCCACAGATGGGTATCATCACCAAAACCAAGACGACTGAAATCTCTAGAAAAAGGCAGCAGGAAATGAAGGGATTTGTCCGACTTGAGAGGAGTTTAAAAATCAAGTCTCAATTAAAACAGGCAAGGCAATCCCACTGCCCACCCAGCCCTCTGTGCCGTCTAAAGCAGACACGTGGACTGGCGCCTCCTGGGCGAGGCAATGATCTGTAGTGGCAAGACACTGGGCTCGGGCTCAAGAGACCTGCATGCTATTTCTGGCTCTCCGTTTCCTATCACGTGAGCTCTGTAGGTCTCCATTTCCCTCTCCACTTTCTGTAAAATGGGACAATGATACTACCCCGGGAGCAGTGCTCATAGCACTAGGAATGAAGAGCACCACAGTGCAAGGGAAAGCCCTGCTATTCTTTTTTCCTAACCTTGCCCAGGAATACTACCAACCTCAGATCAAACTCCAGAGATTAACTCCCTCGCCCCTCCGGTAAATATTGAATGGCGTCAGACGCTGGCTGTCTGCTCCTGCGATCCCCCAGCAGCCTGAGCAGAGGGCCCGGCGAGGCTGGGAAGACCGAGGAAAAGCAAGAGAGAATTCTTAGCTGCAAGGGCCATTTAATATTTTATGCTCCTTCCTTCCCTACTTCTGTGCGAGGTCTCAATACACTAACCATCCCTCCTTCCCCTTTCTTTAAAGGGATCTTGCTGCTACTTCTCGGATGCCCAGGACAGGGAGGCTTCCCCACGGCCCTCCGGGTGGGAACACATCCCGCAGGCTGGACCAGGACGCAGCGAGGATGGAGACAACCTAATACCGAGGAAAATCGGGTGCTTGTTCCCTTCCTGCAAGCCAACAAGGGAAGGCCCTCAGCTGTCAGGAGTGACGCGAGGTCTCCCTGCAGACTTGCTAAGAGCCACTGGAGACGGGTGGGCGGCAGGGATTGTGGAAGGAATCTGGGTCTGACGGAGATCAGAAGAGCAGGATTTGGGAGTCACCGCTCCCTCCTCCACCAGCCGTGCACGGTTTTGGGAAACCTCTCCCCTGTTATCCCCTGGGCTTGGGTCCTCCTGGTTAGGTCACGCAATTCGAGGGCTGGGCAATGAAGTAACTAAGAGGTGTAGACAAAAGCCAGCACACAGACTGTGCACACTCACAGGCAGAGATATCCTAGGGATGCCCTTATGGCTTGCCACTATCCCAGCAGGGTCCTATTGAGGGTGCTCCTGAACAACCTCCCTTTCGCAAGCCTGCACCTCTCAGGAACAGCTAAATCCGAGAAACATCAAGTTACGTGGCCTGAGCAGGGTCCTAGGAGCCAGGATTTTCCAAGTTCTGCTGCTGCCCATAACGAAATGGCTTCCCCTTTTGTAGCTCTAGGGAAGTACTTCAGGCCAGGCTTTTAGAAAGGTATTTAAGGACTTCCCTCCCACTGCACCTTTAAAAAGCTGGGCCTTGACCTCCACTTCCTTCCTTCCCTGTGGAGTAGCGGGGAGACGGACTGGATGGTTAGAACGCTATAAGCAACGGCTTATTCCCCCTATTAGGCATCTCAGTAGGCATTTTAGATGCCTAAATGCTAAACATAACCCTATTCCACCCAACCCGAGTCCCTGAAAAAAAAAAGATGCATGCACTCTGCAATAAATCTTCACCACTTCTGCAAGAGGAAGCAATGAGGCCCCAAGCCTCTTCTGCTTTAACGCTTTTTCAGGAACTGAAGCCAGGCGGGGTAGACTCGGGCTTAGAGGTCTCCCATGCACCAGCTGTAGGTCTTCAGAATTGTTAACAGCACCCCCGACTCGCCGGATTTGACCAACAGGAGCGATGTCAAGCTCGTATCATCTTGGCTCGCCTGCAGATGCAGAGCTTGATGTGCATCAAGTCCTCTGAGCTGCGGTCCTGCGGCTTGTCTTAGATTGCAAGATCCACAGGGCTGGCAAGGCATGTCTCAGTTTGTGGATGGATGTACCTGACCATGCTATCCACCATCTGGCCCGTAAGGACAGGGGAGGCT